TTATTTTCTGAACAGGACCATAACTGCATTTGTCCATCCAGCCTCCAGATGTCCCAGGACTTTCCCTCTGCCTCCAGTCACTCTGCTCATCTGCATACTTGTTTCCCGTTCTCCTATCACTGCGATTCCCTTAGTACTCTACCGGTTTGTCATGTATGTGCTTCCAGCCATAGAGTTTGAGCCTCTCATGTCTGCCTGTTTTACAGATCTTTGTGTTTGGACTTTGCCTTTTGCTTGCTGCCTTTAAAAGTTCAGTGTATTTGGATTACCCACCATCTTGTTTCTGACCTTGGCCTGGTCACCTCCTGTATTCCCTGCCTGATTTTGCTCACCTGGACTTCTGGTAAACCTTTTAACTTAATGTCACCTTTCATTACATCTGTGTGTCTGCATTTGTGCCCAGTTATCCTGTTGTTTCCATGACTAAACATGACAGGACCCAGTACGATGGCTTCACCCATAACTCCTCACACACCACCAATAGCACTTGGTATGTGTCAGTACATGAACATTACCCTCTACTCTTCAATTCAGTTGTATTTGTATAGCATCAAATCACAACAAAAGTCATCTCAGGACACTTCACATAGTAAGGTCTAGAGTAGACATTATTATTATCATTATAGAGGGAAAACCCAACAAATCCCCTTGAGCAGCACTTGGCGACAGCAGCAAGGAAAAACTCCCTGTAACAGAAGAAACCTCCGACAGACAGCGGCTCTTAATGCTGATTAACCAAGAGTGAAAATCTAGTTTGCAGGACTGGCTCTTAATTTCTTACTTACAGATTTACACAGTAAACATCCATTGGTTTTGATCCCTGTAGACTAACACAGCAACAGTTTTTATGCTGACTGATCAGAGCAGGTGATAAAACATCTTTATGTATTATTACAAATCAGGAAAATGTTTTGTTGTGAACATCTATTTCCACTCAAAAGGTAAAGCCAACCTTAAATCTTGATTTAATAACCATGTTAACAAGTCAGACTCTGCTTTTCAAGGCCACAGAGTGCATAGAGAAAGAGAAATCATTAGACTAATAGTCATTTAACTGGGTAATCTCCCAACCATCATGATGTAAGATATGATATACGTGTGATTATATTGAAAAACATCACCGACCTTAAGTACTGAACGTACACAGTATTTTGTTTTGTCATTTACTGTAGCTGAACAATGTAAGGTTTAAAACGATGTAAAAAAAAATGTATTGGATTTATTAGATGAGTGAATGTGTTTCATGATGTTAATACAGAAACAGTTGAGTTGAAATGAGTCCTATCTTAACTAGGACTGACCAAAAAACCATTAAAGGTGGTAAAGCGATGGGTTGCCCAAATATGGCTATTTGAACGCATGCGCACAAACACATGGTCTCCTTGCTGCAGCTGCACAAATACCGCGTTGCCTCCATTGTCAGCGGTATCAAATGATGATGAGTGGTCAGAGGTCGTTCCCACAAGCTCGTTGTTCTTCATGAGTGATAGAAATACAATGTATTCACCTCCAGCATGATAAAAGAAGGAGAAGTAGTAAACGCCTCTAACCGGTGCAGTGAAGATACCTGTGGAAACAACACTTTAATCCAACAACTGACATCTTTGTGGAAATGCTTATGATTCAATTTGACTAATTTACAAAAAAAAGGAAAGTACTATGACATAATGTAGCACATTAGTTCACGTCTGCTGTGATTAACAATAACAAAAACCCTCCTACCCAGTCAGTTTTATATAATGTTACCTGTGTGTTGATTGTAGGCACTGCCAATGTTTGTTATCACTTTGTTGTAGACCAGTGTAGTGTCTGTTTTGAAGGGTCCTATCCTTCCACCTCCATCTGCTGATGCACTGAAAACAACGCGATATCCTTCTGTGTACACAACAAAATAATAGTAAATAACATCCTATTTTATTTTATTAAATGCCAAATGCATCAATAAAGAATATATTATCCCTGTGTTTTTGAGAAACAGTGAGGATCCATCACCCTGATGAACAAGTGAATCCAGGACTGACAGACATTAACTGTGAGTCGAGGCAAATCACTGCTGGTTATAGTCTCTGTGTGGAGGTCGCTCAAAAATACTATAAATATAGAAAATGACTGGCTTTGACCTTTAAATGACAAATATAGAAACACCAAGAATGTGGAGAATGTGCTTATGTCTAAGAAAAAATACATTTCAATTCAAATTTTACTTAAAGAGCTTATTGTTACCAAACATTTCAGCTTACAGTACATTTTAATTTCTGGTAGTTCATGGTATTAAGCCAAATCAGCTCTGAATCTTTTAGAAAATTGTTGATCTACCTTTCCTCTTCTGATCTTCAATGTGGTTTTCAGTCTCCTTCAGTCTGTTTTCTAAGGCTCCCAGTTTTTTGTTGATGGCACCAAGTTGTCCCTGGAGACCAAGCACATAATGGTGGTAGCCAGAAAGAGTTGTTTCTGTATCAGCAGGAGACTCCTCGGCCAAGGTTAGGCCACAGAACAGAAACATAACCAAAACCACTACAAGGTTCATCTTCAGATCTGATTTCAGCTTCGTCTTCTGCTCTCTACCTGGTTCAGACCACACCATTTATTTGTCTGATAAATGATGACTATGTCAGATTGGACGACTATGATTGGCTGTTGGTACAGTACCAGCCAGGCTGCAGCTTGTTGTCATTCGCGACATGCGTGATGTTGTCTGAGGTTGTTTTGATGTATTTGAACAAACAATGACCAGTTAATTATTAACATCTGTTTGTTGATGTCTAATCCAGTGCACTATGGAACCACACAAGATAAGACTATTGAGCAATTACTACATATAATCTTGAATAAACTTTACAAACAAAATCCAAATAATTTCATAATATATCAAAAGTGAAAACCATATGACAATGTGAACAGGGTTACCTGTACTAATGCATGTTGAGGCTCTATGGAGATTTACAGTGAGTTTTGTGTTGTTTTGATGTCCGACCTGCAACTTTAATGTTTTGCTTCACTGTTATTTGTTTCCTGGTCTTGACAAGAAAGTAGACTCTCCTGTCTACAAGACATGAAATACAGTTGTGATTGGACATGGACAGATTTCTGGTTATATGTGAGACTGATGATACAAAGACAGTGAACACATATATGTGCTTTTTACTTCATATTTTGCCCAGGAGTCATCAGGGTTTCCTGGCACAGGCAGATCCATGAGAAGAGTGGCACTGCCATCATCCCAACACTGTCCAGCGTGAGTATGGGTGTTTGCTTAAACAACACTCTCCCTCTTTGCTTAAAAATCACCAGGAAATTACTCACACGTGCATGGGTGTGATTTAGTTTTTTCTCGGTTGCATCATATTTTTTATACTTTTTACAAGGTTTTGAGTTCTTCCCATGAGTTCTTCACAAATCCCCAAGCCGGCTCTGCTGCTACGTGCAGGCGCATGCAAAACACGGTGTCTCGGCGG